CGTGGCAACAGTAATGAGGTTGGCCCAGGATGGGGCAGTGTTTCATTCTGCTGTGCATAAGGTCGCTATGGGTCGGTACCGACTTGATGGCTCCTAACAACAACAACAAATATACATATATAGGAGGGATGGAATTCCAGAAGCCACTTCATTCCAGCCCTTACACTGTGCTCTTGGTACTACACTCTAAGTGACTATTCAGCAAGGCAGGACCGAACACGGCCACAAATGAGAATCCTGCTGACAGGGTGTGGCCGGAGGACACCTACCCACTGGATGGCCGTTGATCCACATCCCATCGTACACGACCCCCGAGCAGTGGGCCACTCGGCCCTGTCCACTGAACACGTCACTGTACCACTGTCCCTGTAGAGAGAGGGAGATGCTCAGAGGAGCTGGCCCGAGGGTGTGGCCTGGGGAGTAGTCTCAGTGGCTCCCTCAGTAGGTCCCTGCCCAGCATGAAAGCTTCTTGGGGGTGGGGGTGGGGGGCTGGCAGGGTTCCCTGGGAACCAGGAGGTTTTGAGAAAACCTCATTGTCTGCAGCCTGTCGGAACCTTCCCTCCGCTGGGAAGAAATCACACTTGATTAGGATGTGACCAACTGGGCTTTTGCAAAGCACAGTCCCTTCTGAATGTTAACGATGCCAAGGACTGTTTGAATAATGGTGTGCAGAGAGTACAAAACGCAAACCCAACGCGCGACACCCAGGAGTATTTCTCAGCACAAAACTCTTTTAGGACAAAGAGATTGCATGTGTTCAGGGACCACAAAGGCGACCCGAACTTCCAAACCTTAGTAACAGTGTGCATGGCTTGTTCTGCAGCACAGTGAGTCTCCCATGAAAAGGCCAGTGAAAAACACAGTTTGAGGCAGTACACCAGCATTCCTGGAACAAAACGCGGCTCCCCACGCCCCGCGGAGGCCTCCTTCGCAATAAGCCTCACTCTCTGAAATAATGCATGCGACAAAGGCTGGCAGAATAATTTGAAATTGCAGGAAAATGATTTTCATGGGGAATTCTAAGCCTGTAAGGGCATTTTATTTGATGATGAATAACTTCTGTTGCAAGAAGAATTAGCCAAAGTACACTTTAGGTCTATTCATTCCTGCCCAGAAGACTTGCCACTCTACCCCTCCCAAACCAACCCCACAGGACCTGTCCTCCTAGGGCTTTTGTTCAGCATTTAGTGTTCCCACTGGGCATGCTTGGCGGGTGTTTGTGTTAAAATGCTGCTCCCAACCCAAAGGGTCTACAGCCCACCAGGAAGCCTCCTCCGTGGAGGGCACTGTTGGCTTGGCATCAGGGAGCTTCAGAATAGACAAGTCGATTTAGGGAAGGAACGTGGGGCATAAAGAAAGCATGTTGGAAGCTGGTAGGTCCTGAAAGGCACCATGGTCTTAGGAGCAACCAGACAAGACACGTCCATCAGATGACCTCTGGGGGAGTGAGGAAGTACCCCAGAGCTCTTCCTGAACGTCGCCAGGGAACTGGGGAGACTCGAAAGGTCTGTGTGAGTGAACTTGCGGGGGTCTGGAGCCTGAAGAGTTATCCAGTCCAGGTACCATTGAGTCAACCCGATGCATGGAGCCCCCCATGTGTGTCAGAGTAGATTTTTAGCCTTAGGGTTTTCCGTGGCTGATTTTGTGGAAGTAGATTGCCAGGACTATCTTCAGATGCACCTCTGGGTGGGTACAAACTACCCATCTTTTTTGTTTAGCGGCTGAGCACATTAAGTAAGTACTTGTACCATTCAGAGACTCCCTAAAGGGCAAAGACATTTGGGGGAGACTGCTTTCCAAGGGCTGTTAGGATAGACAATCACTGCACCAGAACTCATGATGCTGGGCCATGGTGAGGGCTGAAAGTATGGAGGGACTTCAAAGTCCAGGCAGGAGTGAGGCAACAGGCAGGTGATCAGGAGGCAGAGCTGCCCACCAGCTAGCACAAGCACTTTCTGTACTGGACATGGTCCTTCCACCCTAGAGGCCCGAGTGTCCACATCCTCCCTGGGCCTGGTTCTCCTTTAGCACTAAGCTCTAGTGAATGATTTCTCCCCAGACACACACTGGCCGTTCCTGTCTCACCCATTCATTCCGCAGTTTATTGGAGTCCCAGAGATTTGGCTCACATCCTAAAGCTCAGCCAGACCCTAGTAGAGGCCAGGTCAAGACTGTACCAAGACTGCCAGGGATGGCAGCCCAGGGTGCCTGTGCAGCAGACGGGTGGTGGGAGGAGGAGGGATCCAGTGCCCCAAGGGATGCGTGGTCAGCACCTGTGGTGTGGCGAGTCAGGGAGTCATTTCTGGGTGCTGGAGACATGCCACCTGGGCAAGGACTTTCTTGTGTGGATGTGGGCATGCATGTGCATGTGTGGGCAGGTGTACACCCTGTGCATGTGTAAGCATGAATGTTAAACATGAGTGTGTACATGTGAGCGTATCTGTGTATGACCCAGGTCAGGCCCTAGCCCAGAGCTCTCAGCTGGGTGAGGGTGCTTGACCAATGGCAGGTGGTCATTGTTCATAGAAAGTCATGTGTAGAGGCCTGGGTGGCTGACAAGGAGAGGCCGTGAGCGGCAGCACCTTCTTTCCCTAGTGCTGCCTCCCCTATCTCTCCCTGGTCTTACCCATGCCCAAACATGGGACCATAACGTAGCCAAGAGTCTCCTTGTACAAGGGACCATGCCTCCATAGCCTCGATTTCTCAGTTCCTCACATCAATACAGTGTGGAGACGCCCTGGTGGGAGCTGCCCTGGCAGTCACAGGAGGAGTATCTCTCTTCCCAGACCCTCTGCCTTCCTGTGACCTAGTCAGATACAGGTATCATCAGTCTGCTTGCGTAGGGTTTCTTCCTCTCAGAAGACTGATGAGACGGAGCCTGCCTCCAGGAAGCCCATGTTCTCCCAGAGGAGACCAGACAGACAGAATCGACGGAACTGATGATAGAGTCGATGGTGGAAGCCATAAGGAGGAGCTGATGCAACCTCAGGGCGTTGGTCCAGTTGGAGGGACCATTTGGAGTCACATGATGGGGCTGGCATAGGCAGCCTTTGTCTATCACGGTTACGCTCCACAGGGGGACCTTGCGGGAGACTCACGTGGGCCACGCAGACTCACGGAGCACAGCGGCTGCGGACAACTTGTAGGGATAGGCGTCACAGCTCACAATTGACATGGGCCACCCAGAGCCACACATGGCTCTGCATCTGATCCCTGACGTTGGCTGTGTTCTTGATGACAGGTGACGTGTCATCCACCCCCGGAACACAGCTCTGAGAGCCCCAGGTGAGCGAATGCTCACAGTGTCAATACAGAAGCCAGCAGTGTGGAATCCTTCCTAGTCAGCATGTCACCGTGTGAAGACCCATCTACAAGCCCAGGAACACCAAGGATAGCTGGCAGACACCAGAACAGAGGAGCGAGGCCTACAGAGGAAATTGACACGACCCTCCAGAATGGCGAGACCATCAATTCCTGTTCTTGAAAGCTGCCCACATGTGCTGCTTCTGTTCCAGCAGCCATGAGAGACTGTCAGGTCACAGGACTATGGGTGATGCTCTATGGCAGGGTGGTGCAGGGAGACGAGAGGCATGCTCATTTACAGGAGCCCCAACCTCCTGCTCCTGGGAACCTAGATGCCCCCAGGAGCTGCCTCAGATGCTGAGGAACCGCCTGGCAGTATCTCCAGACCTCCACTGGTGTTCACGAGCCCTGGTCTTGAACCATCAACCACTGCTCTCCTTTCAGCCCTAGTGAGCTTGCAGTCTGCGGGGAAGGGGGCATGTGGACACCACTGCCTCTCCCTCTTGGGGCTCTTCTGGGCCCCTGCTTTGGGGGCACAGAGGCATTGGTGGGGGCAGGGCAACCCTGATGCTGTTGGATCTCTGAGTGCCGCACCGGTGACCCTGTTGCGATGGCCTTGAATAAATTGTAAGAAACACGTGCCTGCCTGCTTTTTACTTTTCAGGAAGCAATTCCTAGCTAATTGATGCTATTTTTCTTTCTCAGGGAAAGGTTTCTCTGTATTCATCAGCACTGACTCAGGAACTATGCCACCTTCTCTAGAGCTTTCAGGTGCCCGTGAAGACACCTGTCCCTGTCCCACCACTGCCCTCTCAGCTGCCTCTCCTGGGGAGCCCATGGGGACTCAGAGCCCCACGGCTTCTCAGTATTTGCCTTGGGTGGTATTTACAGTTGGGGGGAAGTAATGCTCTCCAATAGTAACCCACCGAGGACCTCAAACACATTAGTCTTGCAGTTAAGTCATGTCTCATGGAACAGGGTGGGAGTGCTCGAGGCCACCGTCCTAGCCCCATACATGTCACGTGTGTGGAGCACTGGGAAGCTCCTCCCTGGGCCTGCGTCTGTGTCTGTGGGTCTCCAGCAGCCACCTGGGTACTAGCAGTTCCCCACGTCCTGATCCACACCATTTGATCTCTCAATCCTTGATTCCTTACATTTTTCAGTGGGAACTGTAAAGAGAGGCTTGTGCTCACAAGTCCTGACATTTGTAGACATCAGAACCCCAAAAAGACTATCAAGTGTGGTGCTAGGCAACCGTTTCTAGCATCCTCGATGTCTTAGGCAGGGTAGGCAGGGTCAACTTGAGACACTACCTCCTAGCCCAGTGCCTCTCATCTACCATCCCCAGCCTGGGGAAGTGTCCCCCTGGGGCTGACCATCCCCATGTTTAGATGTAACTCCTAAGCAGTGGTTCAAAGGCCCTGCACCCCTCTGTGCTGCCATTCCTGATGACACACAGGTAAGGGAGCCATTGGAGTTCCAGCAGGTGAGGCAGCTCAGAAGGCAGCCACCTGCTCCGAGAGACAAGCAGGTACACCAGGCAGCCGGCTGTCTTCAGGGAAGCCAATGTGTGACACACAGCCAACACAGCACAGCAGCTACGGTGGCTCTGCCCAGGAGCCAGAACTGCTGGGGGGGGGGGGCACACCACAGGTGGCACAGGCCAGCGCAAACGAGCACTTTATACATCAAACAAAATCAACTCGGTTCATTCCTCCTCAGGCCTCCCTGGGTTCCAATCAGGGGCACAGGGAGGAACACGCCTGAGCTCTAATCCTACAGTCGGGGAGCACACACCATGGTTGGGTCTGTAGCATTCTACCTGGTACATATATGCAGTGTTCTCACATCCCTCGGGGTCGGGGCAGCACGGGGAATTCAGCAGAATGCAAACCAGTGCAGGTGGGATAAAACCAGAAGAGAAATCATCAGAGAGAGCAGATTCTACAGCGAACGGATTCCAGTGAGTGCTATTGAGTGGAACGCCTCCGCTTCCAATCACTTACAGAAGGGAGGAGCCCTTGGGTGGTGTGAACTGTTAAGTGCTTGTCTGCTAATGACAAAGCTGGTGGTTTCAGTCTACCCAGAGGTGCCTCAGAAGAAATGCCTGGCAATCAATTGCCAAAAGATCAGCCAATGAAAATCCTATGAGCACAGTTCTCCTCGGATACACATGGGATCACCAGGAGTCAGAGTGTGCTGAGTGGTAACTGTTTTCTGTTTATTTGTTTTTTTGTAAAAGGGGAAACATTTCTAGTTTGGGGATTTATTATTTTTCTTTTCCTATAGAACAAGCTATAACATGCTTATTTTTAGGAATAAATTTTTCCTAGAACTAGTTCAAAAAGTCTCAGTCCTCAATAAAAGGGCAAAACCAGAAAAACATCTATGGAAACCAGAAAAACCAGTTGTCAGAGAGTAGAGCTGTGTCAGAGTAGGATGTGGGAACGTGAATCACCGGGCCTTTCTTTGGAGGTACCTACGAATGGAAACCAAACCTCCAATGTTTTGGGTAGTTGCCGAGCATGTTCACTGTCTGTACCATGAGGGTTTGGAGTTTATGGAGAGGATCATTATTCTCTAGTCTTTTCAGAAAATAAAGATTTCTCTAAAATGACGAGAGAAGTAAATGCTGGTAGGGCTTTTGGGCCCCAGAGCCCTCGACAGCTTTTTGGAGGCAATAGGATCTTGTCACAGGACCTTGGATGGTGGTCTAGGGCCTCTATTTGGGGTGTATATCCCAAGAGGAGAAAGCAAAAGGCCAGCAAACCTTCCAAACTACCTGGACATGAACAGCCACACCCTCTGCCCAGGCTGCATGCAGTCCAGCAGAGTGGAGTCCCAAACAATGAAAGAGGGAACCAAGGAAATACTGGAGAAGGAATCGCCAAGCCAAAGTGAGCATCTCAGTGAGGGCCGCCATTACAAAGCAGCAAAGGGTGCAGAGCGCTGGCTGGTTAGGGTGGATAGGGTTTGTGTCTTAGGTATCTTGCCTAGAGGGCTAGATACTAGACTATTAAAAATACAAGGAGTACAATTCCTTGTGCCCGACACTGGGATAGCAGAGCAGAGGAGGGTTGCCAGCCCGCATCCGCACAGCAAGCTCCTGAGAAAGTGTCACGCGGCGCTGTGAGACCCTCTGCTTCTTCTAATTAATTAGGGGCCAAGTGACAGACGGGGTAATTATTTTTTCTCACACAAGCAGTTGTGCTAAAAGCCTCGTGTTGCCTCTGAAGTGAGTCTGGCAGCCAAGAGTGTGGGCTGAGCACGGGGACTCGGGGTGAAATCCCACCCAAGGCAGCTCTGGGGCCTGGGTCTTCCTGACATGCAGAGAAACACCCTGGGTGACTCACTGGATAAGAAGACAGCTTTGTGGACAGGAAGTCAGCTCTGAGGGGAGATGTGCTTCAATTCAGTCATACCAAAGCCATCTTTGAAGGTTGCAGGAGGGAATGTGATGAACTCAGTAATGGACCCCAGCTGAGGACCCTCACCCCCAGTCTGTCTCCCTAAGTCGTGTTGGCATGCAGGGCAGTGCCACCTGCGGCTGTAGCATGCATCCCTGATACAGAGGGCAAGCCAGGCTGATGGAGGCTGGGAATAGGCACTGTGGGGATACGCTTTGTGGGGACAGGTCCTGTAGGCACATGCCTGGGAGAACACATCTCGGAGGGCAAGGCCTCAGAGGGAACACATCTCAGGGAGGATAGGTCCCTAAGAGAGGGCTTGAGGGTAGTCCACAAGGATGCCGTACAGGGTCCGACGCGCCCCATGTCTGCCCTCATCCTGCCCCCTCAGGATCTCAGAGACCAGGGAAGTACTGAGTCACAAGGAATGCAGGTAAAGTTACATGTTGGCAGCGTCTCGCTCATAAACTCTGCACTCTTGTGTGGGGCCTAGCCTTGAACACAGGGAGGAAAGTTTGAGTCTGAAAGGAGCCTCGAGCCTACAGACCTACCCGATGCTCCCATCCCCACCCCAGTGAGGCTCTGCTGCTCCTGAGGTGCCCAGATCTCACAGCAAGGGCTGGATGCTGTGTCCACCTGTGTCTGAGACACAAATGCCAGGATACCTGGCATCCTCATTCTGGTGTTCTCACCCACAAGGACTGATGAGAAGACGGGTCACTCCTCTGCTCACCATTCAGACCCTGGAGCTGCAGGCTTAGCACACGGCTCATCTCAAATCCTGCCCCAAAGCCGCCTTTTGAAACTGAGGATCAGAGTCAGAGAAGGAACCTGGCCTGGTGCCCAGGGCTTGGTGGCTGAGTGGGGCTTGGCTGCCCCCTGGTGGTGTATGACTGGGCATACAATCAGAGTCCCCCTGGAATCATCCTGTCCACAGGCCCCAGCTCCTGGGACCCTGGAGTCTGAGCTACTTTCAGAAAGTCCTGAGGGGTGGGGGGAGCAGCAGTGACCCCCAGCCTGTCCTCTCCAGGCTGTGCAGTGATTTGCAGGCACCAGAGGACCGATGCAGACAGGTCCCAATAGTGGCCTCAACCACGGATGTCCAGTGGTCTCCATGACCCTGTGGTGACCCCCAGAGGCAGCCAGGGCTTTATGGGAGGAGGCAGCTATGGGGAATGGAGGAGAGAATGGCAAAGCCTTTCATCATGATCCTGGGGGGAGCAGTATTCAGAGTGAGGACTGTGAAACTTCCCCAGATGCCCAGACTACTGGGACACTCAGCACTCAGCCGGGTCCCACATTCGACACTGATGTGAGGGCTCAGTGTGCAGGCTAGGAGCTTGGGCATCCAAGCCAGATCTGGGCTCAAGGACTGACTTTGTCACCTCTGGGTTTTTCTAGACTTTTCTGGGCCTCAGTATCCACAGCTGTAAAATGGGGAAACAGCACCTTCTTCATGAGTTGTGGAAATGGAGTGAGTTAATACAGAGAGCTTCGAACTATGCTTGGCACACACGACCTGAAACCAAACTCCCATTAGAAATGGGGTCCCACAAGTGTCCTGGTGCTGCAGATACCATGAAGGACCTTTGGGAGCAGTGGGAGAAGGAAGGAGGAGGGTGTGCCCAGGGCTCCCCATTGACCTCTCCTCTACTGCAGCTCTGCTCTGGAGGTCTGAGAATTAAGGGGATGATTGTGGCATGCCCTCAGGCTGAGCCTATAAGAATCAGCAGATATTTGCCCTGGGGGACAATCGACCTGGCTTTGGCAGGGTCACAGTGGCATTTTCCTCCAGTACAAACCACCAGGGGAATAAGGCCAGGCCAGCTGGCGTACCAGCTACTTTGACACATAGCTCCAACTCCACTGCCTTTACCAGGACTTACTTAGTCATCTGGGAGTGGACCCTGGCGGGCGGTTTTTCCCAAGCAGAGCTCTGTTCCACAGCAAGAAGGTGACCATGGTGGACTTCCAGAGCCAACATTGTACACTCTGGCCACTTTCACAGCAAGATTCTAGATGCCACCTGCTTCCACCCCTGGCTTGCTCCATCCAACAAATGCCTGGACCAGTTATCAACCCACTGCCTTTCAGCTTCAAGGTCAGCTTCTCTGCCCGGCTCTGTGACATAGGAGCTAGAACCTGTAGATGCTTCTTTGCCAGCTGTGCAATGTTAGCCTTTGTCAAGAAAGAGTGTCTTCTCTTCCCTTCTCAAGTGTGTCCATTTGTAACTTCTGGGTATGGCTACCAGTGGGGGGCCCAGTATGTCACTCTCAAGCAAGTTTCCTGCACCTTATGGGTGGTCTCCTTCACTTACTTCCCTGTGTAATCAAGGGTCAGCCACCTTGACCCCAAGGGTATATCTGGTTGGAAATATCTCCCAAGCAGGTGTGGGGCAACCCCAAAGGTACAGACCTCAATATAGTAAAGCGGTTATAGGACAGCTTCTAGAGTCAGACAGGCTGGATGCAATTGTCATTTGGGTTGGTTAATAGCCATAGGATGAAGGGAATTGATTTACCTTATTTAAGTCTGTTTTCTCATCAGTAAAATGGGAGCAATGACAGTTCCTACCTCCTGGGGCTGCTAAGAGGACCAGGTGAGATGATGGATGAGGGCAGGTCTCAGTAGGCCCTCCCTGCCCTCCAAGGCCACAGGGTCCAGAAGGTGCTCCCCAATACCTCATATGTCGAGCCATCAGTGCAGGAGAGCACCCCGTGTCCCTGACGCTGGTCTAGGACCCAGTCGCCTTCATACTGGTCACCGTTCCTGGGGACAGACACACAATCCATGCTCAGGCTTGGGACCCTCTGCCATGGTCAGGGGAGCAGAGGGGCTGGCATGAGGCAGCCCTTACACTTTGAGATGTTCCACTGGGATTGGAGGCATGAATGAGCCTGCATAGAGCAGCCAGGTGGCTGTGTGATTCAGACCGGTCCCTCCGACCAGTACTCAGCACGCACCCCCGGGGGCCAAGGCAAAAATAGACTCAGCAGATGGCCTGAGGAGACTGAGTGTGCCAGGCTGGCTGGAAGAGCAAGGGCATGACCTTCAGGCTCCTGGGCCGGAGGCTGACAGGCCCTGGTCCCTGCAGGGGGAAGAGCCCATGCCGATTGCTTGGACGCAGCTTCCTCTGTATGGAGTGTGATGTGACGATGGGAAAGCAAGAGAAAAGGCGAGTCTGTGCATTTCAGTGGTTGGATTCACATGGGAGTAGCTGCCTTAGGAATTGTACAAGGCAGTTTCAAAGGGCCACCCTGCGCCTGCCAGTACCACCATACTGCCATTCAAACTTGAAGCTGTTCCCTGCTTCTTGCCTTCACAGGACCTGCCTCTCTTCCTGAGATATTTTATTTGGATTTTCTCTGCTAAAGCCACAAATGGCCAATTCTAGGGAAGAGGGGAGAAATGCTAGAATAAGAACAAACACGCAGAAGTCATCTAATGGCCAGTATTCCAGGGGCCAAAACAGGGGCTGGACTGGGCTGTTGTTGGTAGGTGACCAAATTACCCTACTGCACCCAGTGGACCTAGCGCCAATGAGCCTGGCTCAGTGGCCATCGCTGCCCCCGACTGGTTGGTTCCCTTTCCTGATTCTCACCTACCTGAAGAGCATCTGCCCGTGCCCATGCCTCTTGTGGTTGTGAAAGGAACCCTGGTACACCTGCCCTTCCTGGTCCACCAGGAGCCCGTGTCCTAGGGAAGAACCAGAGATCTGCTAGGGACAGGTTTGCTCCTCTCAGGACAAGGTGGGGAGTTGAGGAGAAAGCTTAGCACCTTTCCAGGAGCTAAGCTGCCTGGGCAGGCAGGGCTGTGCAGGGGAGGCCCTGGACATTGCCCACACTGCCCAGGATGGGGACTGGGGAGTCCAATTTGGGGAGGATTGGCAGCCCCGTATTCAGAGCCAACACACGACAACCCACATCATCTGTGAAAGTAACTTCTGGGTCTGGCTCTCAGGCTCTGAGTGAGGGCAGGGGACCCGTGCTAGCGGTACAGTGGTTACACTGCTAACCGAAAGGTTGGTGGTTCAATCCACAAGCAGCTCCGTGGAAGAGAAGACCTGGCATCCTGCTCTCAAAAAGATGTGTCTAAATAACCTTACAGGGCGAGTCTTCTCCATTTCATGGGTGCCAAATTGTCTGCAGCCAACCACCACCGCCCCCTAACTCCTGAGAACAAAACTGCTGTGTGCACGTGTACAAGGACTTTATCATTCAGTTAAGGTGTGGGTGCATGTCCGCTTGCTTATAGGGTCACAGGAAACCTTTGCTTCACATCAAATGAATGAACCATTCACAGGATTCTGATCTCAGAGAATGTGGCTTCCTGACATTACTCGGCATATTGGACACTTTGGGATTGCCGTGGTATTACTATTTCTAAACATAAGCACATACAGGGCAAATGAAAGGCAGCTGTGTCTAAACCCCATGTTGGTGACCTGTCTGCTCAGTCCTCAGCTTCAGATGATCTGTAAGGAGCACTGAGCTCTAGGTGCCCCCCGCTTTGTGGGGTCTGGGTAGAAATGGGCTGCAGGGAAGGCTCCTCCCAGTCAGGGATGGGGTCTCCTCTCCTTCCAGAAATCTGGCCCCTTTGACTTATGGGACACTAGGAGACTCCCTCCTGAGCCAGGGCCTTGGGGATCTGAAGTTCCTGTCTTTGGCCCCTGGGACTGCCTGGCCCCAGTTTGGCTGCCACTTGTAGATAGGAGGGACCCCAGGTAAGGCCAAGCAGCAGCTGACCTATGGGACCATCATCAGTAATGAAATAGGGGTCATGGTAACCCACCAAGTGGGTGGCTTGTTACATCACAGCAGCTGACCAATACAAGGATGCCTGCCAGAGTGTCCAGTGGGCTGGGTTTTATGGAGCATGTACCTCAGAGGGCCCCGTGCACTGGGCTGAGGTATGCAAGAACCCAGGCTGAGAAGGGCAGGCAAACATCTTGATTCCCTGTGCCGACCTCAACGTGAGACTAACAGGTCCAGGGGCTCCCCGGACCACATGACATCAGGTGACTGAGCCCATTCCAGCGGGTGCAGTCAGAACCTTGGGGAGGGGCACTGGTAGATAAATCCCCCCATTACTGACTGAATTATACCCCCTCTTCAAATACTTGGAATCCTAGGATAAGGACCACAAGGTCGGTTTGAACTGCAAGGTTGGTGGTTCAAACTCACCAGCCACTCCTCAGAAACCCTATGCAAGGGTTGCTATGAGTCAGAACCGACTCGATGGCACTTAACAACAACAACCACACAAATACTGGTTGTATTCCTGGCCCCTGTTCCCGTGAAGAGGAGCCTGTTTATGAACAGGGGTTTTTCTGTTCTGTGAATGAGGTCAGACCCGAGGAGGCTCAGCCCTAGGCCTAATCACTTCTGAGTTCTAAAAAGAGCAGACTAGGCACAGACACCTGGGGAGGAAGACAGGTGACATGTGAGGAGTGTGTACAAGCCGAGGACCAAGCAAAACCGTACCTGTTGGCTAAGACCCTGGTGTGGACTTTTAGCACCAAAACTGTGAGAAAATAAAAGTCTGTGCTTCAAATCCCCCACATGTGGTACACACAAAAACTAAAAAGCATTAACAACAACAACAACAACACAGTCAGTTGCTACTGATCTCAACTGATGTGCCCGAGGAGAACTGTGCTCGTAGCGTTTCCAGTGGCTGAGTTTTCAGAAACAGATTGTCAGCCTTTTCTTCTGAGGTGTCTGGGTGGACTTGAACCTCAACCTTTAGGTTGGCAGCCTAGCCTGGTCATTGTGTGCACTTCTCAGGAACCCCCCAACAAACTCGGCCCCCCTATTCCCCCGGTTTGCAGATGTCACCAGCTCCTGGCGGACCTTCTCTGGTACCGTGTGAGAAGGCCCCTTCATAGCGCCCGCCAGCTCCATACTGCATGACGCCCTGTCCATGGGGCTCGCCCAGCACGAACTGTCCGGAGTAGGTGTTCCCTGGTGGTGGACAAGGAAGAGGAAGACATGATTTCAGGTCACTCTGCTGACCCCTGGGGCGACAACAGTGACTACCTGTCTCTACCCCTATAGAGCCTATAGAGCCCCGCTAGCCTGCTGGGGGTGAAGGGGCACATCTGGTCCTAGTTCTGGGCTACCCGGCTCCCTCTAGGCTTGGTCAGAGCCAAAGGGCTACGCCTTCTCCTGGAATCTTTACACACCAATGGCAAGTCAAACCCGAAGAACAAACACGTGAAAAGAATGCCCCTCCCTTGGCCCCTGAGGGTCCAGGGCTCCGATACAGCCCCTACCATGTGGTCTAGGCACCACCTGGGATGTTTTCTCATCTCCTGCTTCCCTTTGCACCCAGACGCAATTTGGCTAAAAAAAAAAAAAAAAAAAAAAGGAACCAAGATAACGTTGATTTGTTACATCTTTATTCCAACAGTGCTAGGAAGACCTGTTTCCCATCAAAGCATGCCTCAATCTGAACCCCAGAGCACCCATGCGTCCTGGCCACCCTGGCTGAAGCCATCTATGTCCACACCCAGCCTGGACTGACAAACTGCTACTGTTGTTGAATTCACCATAGAAACAGCAGCTCCATCCACATTTACCACAGAAATACCTCCTACACCCTTCAGAAGTCGACCTCCAACTCTCAACTTTCAATTTGTAAACCCTGAGCTGCCCACTCAGGTCCCCATGCTACCTGATAAGGCCCAGTGACGGCGCCCTTTTCCCGTGATCTCTCCGTCCACAAAGTCACCTTCGTAGTAACTTCCGTCTTTAAACAGCAGTTTCCCATGACCTAGGAAAAGACACACAGAGTTTAGAGGTGGCTGCTAGCAAAGCCACTCAAGGCTCCGGGAGGTGATGCTAGGCTGCAGAGCCCTCAGGTTTCTGTGCTATGTCATCGCCTTTGCCATGAAGTGCTCTCCAACATTCTCACTCTACGTTTACCAAGGAGAGCATCGTCAACCCTTCCCCAAACCCTACTGATCACTCTGCTCAGTAAGAGCCACCAAGTCTCCAGCCCCCTCAGAGAATGTGTTCCAATCAACTCACCTCAGTCAGCTTAGGGAGAAGGAAGGAGACAGGGGCTATAGAGCACATTTTCAAAAGGGGGGAGCTCCTCTGTCTTGAGTCATTGTACCAAAAGGAATTGGTTGATGGTCCACAGTTTCAGAAGGTAGCATAAGATCAAGAAGTCCACACTGCACTGAAGGCATTGGCTGAAAACAAGGTTCCAGGAATTGACGGACTACAAGATGAAATGTTTCAACACACTGATACAGTGCTGGAAACATTCATTAGTCTATGCCAAGAAATTCAGAAAACAGTTACCTGGTGAACTAACTGGAAGAGATCCATATTTGTGCCTATTCCAAAGAAAGGTGATTCAACAGAAAGAGGAAACTATCAAACAATATCATTCACATCCCGTGCAAGTAAAATTTCATTGAAGATAATGCAAAAGTGGTAGGCAGTTGCCAGAAATTCAAGCTGAATTCAGAAGAGGACGCAGAATGAGGGCTATCATTGCTGACGTCAGATGGATCTTGGCTGAAAGCAGAGAATACCAGAAAGATGTTTACCTGTGCTTTATTGACTATGTAAAGGCCTTGGACTGTGTGGATCATAACAAACTATGGATAACATTGCAAAGAATTGGACTTCTAGAATAGTTCATTGTGCTTATATAGAATCTGCACATAGACCAGAGAGAGTGATTCTAACAAGGGGATACTGTGTGGTAAGGGCTGTATTCTTTCCCCATACTTATTCAATCTGTATGCTGAGCAAATAATCCAAGAAACTGGATAGATGAAGAAGAATTTGGCATCAAGATCGGAAGAAGGCTCATTAACCTGCAATATGCCCATGATACAAACTTGCTTGCTGAAGGTGAAGAGAATTTGAAACATTCATTGATGAAGACCAACCACTCTAGCCTTCAGTATGGATTACAACTTAATGAAAAGAAGACAAAAATCCTCACAATTGGACCACTAATCAACATTATGATAAATGGAGGACAGATTGAAGTTGTCAAGGGTTTCATTTTACTTAGATCCACAATTAACACTCACCCAAGCAGCAGTCAAGAAATCAAATGACATATCACATTAAGTAAATCTGCTACAAAAAGACCTCTTTAAGAGCAAAGATGTGCCTGACCCAAGCCATAGTATTTTCAATCACCTCACCTGCATGTAAAAGATGGACAATAGAGGAGGAAGACCCGAGAAGAAGTGATGAATTTGAGTTACGGTTAGTGAAGAAAATAGAAAATACGTATCATGGACTGTCAGAAGAACAAATCAACCTGTCTTGGAAGAAGTACAGTCAGGGTACTCCTTAGAAATGAAGATGGGGAAGCTTTGTAATGTTATCAGGAGGGACCAGTCTCTGAAAAAGAACATCATCTTTAGTAGAAGGTCAGCAAAAAAGATAAAGACCCCCAATGAGATGGACTGACAGTGACAGCAACAGTGGGCTCAAACATAACAACTGTGAGGACATGACAGCACGGGACTGGGGCAGTATTTTGTTCTATTATGTATCAGATCACTATGAGTCAGTGTGACTCAAAGGCACCGATACAATCCCCTCTGTCCTGACCTGGCTCAACTTCGAGCCTTCCAGTTTGGCAGGGAGGAAAAGAATCAGAGATTCCCATATAAAAATGAGAAACACCTGTTTGTCAAAAACACTATGATAAAAGTGAAAAGGTTGCAAATGTAGGTTCTTTTTTATATTTGTCAACACATTCAGAATGGGCTCCTGTATTAAAAGATCAGCAAACTCAAAGGCCTTGTGTAGACGGGAGGAGCCACCAACGGAAGACGTTGCAGATGAGTGCCGTGTACAAGATGCTGTGTGGCAGGCGCTGGGCGTGTTCTGGGGGGAGCCATTTCCTGAGTCTCCTTTTTTATTTATTTATTTTTTATTTGGCTCTACTACTTGGATTCTCTATAAGAGTTGGTACCAACTACTATCAAGTTGACTCTCCGTCACAGCCAGCCCCCTGTGCGTCAGTGGAGGACTGTGCTCCACAGGGTTTTCAGTGGTGGCTTTTTGGGAAGCAGAATGCCAGGCTTTCTTCCAAGGTGCCTCTGAGTAGACTTGAACTGCCAACCTTCCAATCAGTTGTTGAGTGCAAACCATTTGTGCCACCAAAGGACCTAACTGAGAGTTGGGAGTCCTGGTATGGCACTGTAGGATAAGCACTGGACTGCTAACCACTGCTCCTCAGAAACCCTACACAGGGAGTTGGAATCGACTCAATGGCACTTAACACCACCAAAGAACAATCTCTTTATCCTGAGCTTTCATTCCAGATAGGGCTCCAGGGAGGATTTCTAGTTGTTGCTACCAGGACCTCCCAGGACACCTCCCCCCCTGCTGGTGAGTTTGAAACCGGCTGTCATCGGCTCTCCCTGAGTGAGCGTGCTGGGTGGCAGGCATGATTACCAGCTGCCCTGAACCCTGAGGAGCCAGCTGGACGAGTGGCAGATTCAGAAGAGACCTAGGAGTTTTCCTTACCATGTTTCTTTCCTTCTTTCCATTCTCCTTCATATCGAAAGAAAGAATTGGCATAGACGTAGACTCCGTAACCTGAATATGGAGAAAGGCACAGGGTGAGCACATGAGGGCACCTGCAGGGTGGCACCCAATGGGCACAAGGCGGTGTCTCTACACGAGGACCCTCCAAGGGCCACAGGGAGCTCCCAGGGGACCATTAAAGGGGTTGGTGCCTTGACCCACAGGTAATATTTCAGCACAACTGCCTGAAGGCTCAGTCTGGGAGTTTCCTGGGCATTTCATTCATTCATTCGTTCATTCATTCATTCATTCCTGCCACGCACACAGATGGACAATGCTATGGATGGAATTCTGTGCTCCTAAAATACATGTCGGAATCCTAGTGTGATGCTACAGGATAAGCACTGGACCGACTGCTTTGGTACTGACTCGACGGTCCTTAACAACAACAACAACAAAATATATGCTAAGGAGGCCTGGTGGTACAGCGCTTAAGCGTTAAGCTGCCAATTGAGAAGTCAGTGGTTGGAGCTCACCCAGTAGCTCTGTGGGAGAACGCTGTGGTACTTGGCCTCCTTGGAAACCCTGTGGGGAAGTTCCACCTTCTCCTATAGAGTTGCTGTGAATCGGTCCTGACATGATGGAAAGGGATGTTTATAATATACTGTTGGGATACCAACTCCTACACCTGTGGATAAAATCCCACTTGGGAACAGGGGTTCCTCCGTTATGTAAATGAGGCCACACCAGAATACTGAGTGTATCTTTAGATAATCACTTTTGAGATACAAAAAGAACAGATTCGGCACCGGAGCAAGCAAGCACAGGTGGGGGAAGAGAGATGTCATGTGGAGATTGCCAAGGACCCAAGGAACAGAAGCTAAAAAATGAAGGCCCTTGCCTTCCTTACCCCAGCATGGACACAGAGAGCCTTCGCTGAGAGTCACCGCTGCTATCTGTCAGGTTTTCATTGGGTACATTTTTAAGAAGCATCCAGTCTGTCTTAGTCTGGAAGCTCCAAGGAAACTTGTCCACCACCCTGGGTGACTCTACTGGTGTTTGAACTACTGGTGGTATAGCTTTCAGCATCACAACAACATGCAAATGATCATAATACGACAGAGTGACAGACATATCCTGAAATATAAGACCTGTTTATTATGACTATTATTCAAATATATGTATTAGTCATGAATGTCAAAGATGAAGAAATTGAAGATTTTTGCAGTCTGGATTTGATTACAAGGCATTGATAATTACTGATGATTGGTATGCAAAAATTGGAAATAATGAAGGGTCCGTAGCTGAAAAATAGGGCATTGATAATAGAAATGACTTTGGAGATCACATGACAGACTTTGGCAATACCAACCATTTAGTCAGTGCAAATACCTCTCTTCAACAATATAAATGGTGACTATATACGTGGACTTCACCAGATAGAACACAAACTGTGTCAAAATGTGACTATATCTGTGCAAAAAGGCTGATTTCGGAACAGAACATCAATTGCTCATATTCAAGTTCAAGCTGAAGCGGAATAAAATTAAAACAAGTCCACGAGAGTCAAAGTATGACTGTTAGTATATCTCACCTGAATTTAGAGACCATCTGAAGAATTGTTGTTGTTGTTGTTAAGTGCCATCGAGTCGGGTCCGACCCATAGCGACCCTGTACAGGGTTTCCGAGGGTGTAAATCTTTACGGGAGTAGAAAGCCTCATCTTTCTCCCGCGGAGCGGCTGGTAGTTTCGAACCGCTGACCTTAAGGTTCGCAGCCCGATTCGTAACCACTACGCTACCAGAGCTCCTTCACATCTGAAGAATAGATTTGATGTATTAAGCACTAATACTAAAGACTAGACAAGTTGTGGGATGATATCAAAAACATTGCATATGAAGACAACAAAAAAATTGTTTAAAAGACAGTAAAGAAAGAAAAGACCAGAAGGAATGTCAGAAGAGACTCAGACACTTGCCCTTGAATGCAGAGTAGCTAAAGTGACGGGAAGACATGACAGAACAGAAGATTTCGATGGGTGGTTCCAAAAGACAAAAGTGGAGTATTAGAATGAAATATGTAAAGATGAGGAGTTAGAAAACCAGAAGGGAAAAACATGCTCAGTAATTCTCAAGCTGAAAGAACTGAAGAAAAAAATTCAAGTCTTGATTTGAAAAATTGAAAGACACAGAAAGTATCAAGAGAAGATGGAAGGAACACTCAGAACCATTGTACAAAAAAGAATTGATCAATGTTCAACCATTTCAGGAGGTAGCATATAATTAAAAACCAATGGAATTAACGTAAGTTGTCCACGCTGCACTGAAGACACTGGTGAAAACCACAGCTCCAGGAATTGGCAGAACACCAACTGAGCCATTTCAACAAACAGGCTTGGTGTTGGAGGCACTCACTCATTTATTCCAAGATGTTTGGAAAACAGTTGCCCAGAAGACATCCATATACATACCTTTTCCAAAGGAAGGTGATCCCACAGAATGTGGAAACTTTCAAACACTATCATTAATATCACATGTAAATCAAATTCTGCTGAAGATAACTTTAAAATGGTTATAGCAGGATATCAACAAGGAACTTCCGAAGGTTCAAGCCAGATTCAGAAGAGGACGTGGAATGAGGGATATCACTGCTGACGTCAGATGGATCTTGGTTGAAAGCAAAGAATACCAGAAAGATGGTTTCCTGTGTTTTATTGACTACACAAAGGCGTTTTGTTGATTACACTATACAAAAACTGTATAAATCATAAAAAATTATGGATAACATGTAATTGTGTTCATGCAGAACTTGTACATAGACCAAAAAGTAGTTGTTCAAACAGAACAAGGGGACAATCAAAACACCAAATCCATTGCCACTGGGTTGATTCCAATACAGTGACCCTGTCATAGTAACCCTCTCATAGGTCTGACCCTCCATAGTGACCCTATGTAGGGTTCCCGAGGCTGTAAATCTTGATGGCAGCAGAAAGCATCATCTTTCTCCCACAGAGCAGCTGGTGAGTTTGAACTGCCCATCCTAACAATTAGCAGTCCAGTGTTTATCCTACAGTGCCACCAGGACTCCTAAGGGGATAAACACGTGGTTTGAATTTACAAAACTTATGCATCAGGGTTGTGTTCTTTCATTATACTTATTTAATCTCTAGGCTGAGCAAATAATCTCCAAAAGTGGACTCGCTGAAGAATATGGCAAGAGGATTAGAGGAACCAGCGATATGCAGATGGCACAACCTTGTGCTTGTTGAAAGTGAAGAGGACTTGGGGTACTTACTGATGAAGACCAAAAGACTCCAATGTGGATTACACTTCAACAGAAATCCTCACAGCTGTATCAATAAGCAACATTATGATAAACGAAGAAAATGCTAAAGTGGTCAAGGAATTCATTTTACTTGGACCTACAATGTCCATGGAAGCAGCCACCAAGAAATCAATTTGCATTGGGCAAATCTGCTGCAAAAGACCTCTTTATAGTGTTCAAAAGCAAAGATGTCATTTTGAGGGCTAAGGTCCTCTGTTCCAAGCCAGGGTATTTTCATTTGCATCATATGCATGAGAAAGCTGGATAATGAGTAAGGAAGACTGAAAAAGAATTGGTGCATGTGAATTACTGTAGGGGGAAGAATACTGGGACTGTCCAGAAAAACAACAACAAAAAAATGTGTCTTGGAAGTACAGCCAGACTGCTCCTTAGAAGCAAGTATGGTGAGATTTTGTCTCATGTACTTGCAGATGTATTACCAGTCTCTAGAGAAGGACATTTTGCTTGGTGAAGTCATAGGGCCAGTGGGAAAGAGAAAGGCTCCCAAAGAGATGGATTGATACAGTAGTTGCCACAATAAGCTCAAACCTGGCAATGATTGTGAGAAAGGCACAGGACAGAGCAGTGTTTTGTTGGGTCGTACACAGGGTCATGAATAGCAGAGAAATACTGTCAGATGCTGCCAGAAAATGAGTCCCTCAGGTTGGAAGGCACTCTAAATGCAACTAGGGAAGAGCTGCCTCCTCAAAGTAGAGTTGACCGTGATGACGCGAATGGAGTAAAGCCTGTGGGAAAAAAGCCTGCGGGACCTTCATTTGCTGATGGGGCACAACTGAAAATTAAGAGAAACAGCTGTAAACATCCATTGAAAATCAGAACATGGAATGTACGAAGTATGAATCTGGGAATATTAGAAGTTGTCAAAAGTGAAATGGAATGCATAAACATCGATATCTTAGGCATTAGTGAGCTGAAATGGACTGGTATTGGCCATTTCGAATCTGACAACCACAGGGTTTACTATGCCGAGAATGACAAATTGAAAGGAATGGTGTTGCATTCACTGTCAAAAAGAACATATCCAGATCAGTCATGAGGTACAATGCTGTCTGTTATAGGATAATATCCATGCACCTACAGGGAAGACCAGTTAATACCACTATTATTCAAATTTATGCAGCAACCAGTGAGGACGAAATAGAAGAATTCTATCAATTTCTTCAATCAGAAATTGATCAAACATGCAATCAAGATGTATTGATCATTACTGGTGATTGGAATGCAAAGGTGCAGAGCAAAAAGGAAGGATCAGTAGTTAGAAAATATGGCCTTGGTGATAGAAATGATGCTGGAGGTCACATGATAGAATTCTGCAAAATCAATGATTTGTTCATTTCAAATACCTTCTTCAGACAGCACAAGAGACAACTATACACATGGACCTCACCAGATGGAATACATAGAAATCAAATCGACTGCATCTGCGGAAAGAGATGATAGAAAAGCTCCATATCATCAGTCAAAACAAGGCCGGGGAAGACTATGGAACAAACCACCAATTACTCATAAGCAAATTCAGGCTGAAACTGAAGAAATGAAAACAAGTCTACAAGAGCCAAAATATGACCTTGAATATATCTCACCTGAATTTAGAGATCATCTGAAGAACAGATTTGATACATTAAACACTAAAGACAGAAGACCAGAAGAGTTGTGGGATGGCATCAAGAACATCATACATGAAGAAAGCAAAAAGTCATTAAGAAGACAAGAAAGAAGGAAAAGGTCAAAATGGATGTCAGAAGAGACACTGAAACTTGCTCTCCAGCGTAGATATGGTGAAGCAAATGGTAGAAATGAGGAGGTCCAAGAGCTGAACAGAAAATTTCAAAGATCAGCTTCAGAAGATAAAGCCAAATTATTACAACAAATTATGCAAAGATCTGGTGTCAGAAAACCAAAAAGGAAGAACATGCTCAGTATTTCTCATGTTGGGGGAACTGAAGAAAAAATTCAAGCCTCGACTTTCATTATTGTAGGATTATTTGGGCAAATTATTGAATGATACATAAAGCATCAAAAGAAGATAGAAGGAATACACAGAGTCACTGTATTAAAAGGAAGTGGTTAATGTTCAACCATTTCAAGAGGTAGCATATGAGCAAGAGCCAGTGATACTGAGGAAGGAAGTCCACGGTGCATTGAAGGAATTGGCAAAGAACAAGGTGCCAGGAATTAATGGAATAAAAAGTGAACTCTTTCAAGAAAGTAAGGTGGCACAGGAGGCACTCACTCATCTATACCAAGAAATTTGGAACACGATTATCTGGCCGACTGATTGGAAAAGATCCATATTTGTGCCCATTTCAAAGAGAGGTGACCCAATGGAATGCAGAAATCATTGGACAATCTCTTTGATACCCCATGCGTGTAAAGTTTTACTAAAGGTAAATACAGAAATGGCTGCAAGGGATATCTGCTGATGTCTGATAGATCTTGGCTGAAAGCAGAGAATATCAGAAAGATGTTTACCTGTGTTTTATTGACTATGCAAAGGCTTTTGATTGTGTGGATCATGACAAGCTATGGAAAACATTGTGAAGTATGAGTATTCTGGAACACTTGGCTGTGCTCATGAGGAATCTGTACCTGGACCAAGAAGCAGTCGTTCG